CTTCCCTAAAATGTCAAAGAATAAGTGATCAAATATATGAATGTAAATTTCATTGTGTGTACGTGTCATTGACTAAATATGCGCTACAACGTGCTCAACTTTTGTTCCGAATCAGCTTCTTCTTACTGGTTACGACGAGACTCCCTTCTCATTCATTCCCGCAGCTTCGCTGTGCTTTAAACGGTGGACGCTGAGCGTCCGCTGAGCGTCCGCTGAGCGTCGACTGCCCGGACGCCGAGCATCTCGAGAGTTCAGGGTAGGTTGTCCCAATGCGTTGAACGGAGACGAGTCATTGGATACAAGCTGGTTTTTGTCCCGTCCACGGACGCTCGGCGTCTCTGGGACTGGATGGCAGTGGGCGGGTACCGGACGCTCAGTTGTTCTGCATCAGATTGGATGATCTGTCTGAGCCTGTTTTCCAGTTTGATTGACATCGAAATGAGCCAATCACCGATCTTTTAGTGGAGGCATCCGTGGGAGCACTTTCAATTCGCATTCTGTTCTAAGTTGAACTGGAGACGACTTCTAATCATCTTAGCGACACTCTGTTGAAAACGATAAGCGACGAATTAATCTTTTATTACTGGTGGGTTTTATTGTAGTCGCTGTAGTTTTAGGACACTAGTTAAGTTCCTGGAAAAGACGCCTTGTTGGTATGACAGGGTTACAGATAATTTTCTTGAAAAGGAACGGAGAGTAGGATTCACGGATAAATAAACGGACATATTTTATGATGTGGGCCAAAATTGAGCTTCCCCTCCTTGACAGACCAGCATTCGCCACTGCACTGTACCGGTATTAATTCTAAGGTGTAGTTTTTTTGTTGGGTTTTTTTTAACTGAGCATGCACACACACACAGCACAGATCAGGAGATAAAAAATGGAGTGAACAAATCTTTAAGAGAGACATGGAAAAATATTTAATAGGCAGATGCAAATATAATTTGTACTTGTGTGTTACTGGAATGCGTGTGACTGAATACCTGACCAAAAAAAAAGTGTCCAGTTATTGTTTGTTGTAAATTAACCTATATCTATATTGTTTTCTTTTAGGTTAATAAAGACACAGTCTCTTGCAATGGTATATGTCTTTTTGAAACAATTGATACTATTTTGGGGGGCGAAAATTATTTTCTTCTTCCTAGTGGGGCATAACAGGAAAAAAAAAAGAGAAGTGATATATCCAATATACATTCCGTCTATATTTGTACATACCGTAAATTCCGGGCTACAGACCGCACCTGATTAAGAGCCGCATGCTCAGAAAAAATCAATTTTGTAATTATATGCGCCGCACCGTACTATAAACTGCTGGCCAATGAGTAGGCGGGGGTTTGCCTCTGCGTCCCTGCCGCCTGGAGCACCTCCGGGTGAGGCCGCTGACGCGGTCCCCCGCTGAACCCCCGCAGAAAAAAAAACGCAAAATTTCTTCAGGTTAAAATAATCTACATATTTTTATTAGCATGATAAATGCATTTGCACAACGAAATTACGCTGAAACACATAATAAGAGGCCAGACAACGAGAGATCTTGATGCGCATCTGCGTAATTACGAGGAGAAATACTGCAGCCCAATAGGCTTTAGCTAGAATGATGCAAATCATATAAATGGGAAAAGATATATGAAATTATTTCTACAGTCAGCCGCTTAAAAATGATCATTGTTGGCAGCTTTAGGCCCGATGCTGCGCGGCTCAAAACACAGGTAAAATGTGTTCTCTCGTGGCCGCTTGTTTTCAGTATGATGGGGGAGTCACCTTTTTTATTTACAGTCCGAGTGAGAGAGGCAAATCAAATGTCAGAGGGTCTTCGTCCATAGTTATTATTTCATCTGGGCTGATGGAATTCTCCGCTGTCTTTGTTTGTGTGAATGTGCGGAACGAAGCAAGTTTGTCCTCGTAATTGGGAGGGAGCTGCTGACACAACGTCGTGCGTGCCCTAATAGACAGGCTTCATTTCATGAATCTATAACACCACGGTGGCCCACCTTTAAAACCTTTAAAAGCTTTGGTTGTCTTTTTACACTGGCTCAGTTCTTCTTGCAGGAGCCTCCACTTTCGCACCATCGACTCGTCTATGCCAAGATTAGGCCAAACAAAAAAGATAGTGTGTTTCCGGTAACAAGAAATTTCAGCATCGGGTCGGTCGGTCCGACAAAGTTTTTTTTTTTTAATCTTTTTTTTTTCCCATCAAAAATTTAAACAAAATAAGCATAAAACATAAAACAAGAAGACATTGAACCCGCCGCTCCGCGGCCGGCGCCGCCGCTACCTATTTAGTTTTCTTCCCGCTCCGGACTCGGGGGGCCAGGGCGCGCCGCCGCATCTGCTGTCCTCCTCTGCCGTCCTCCTCTGCCCTCAGTTTTTACTCGGCCCGTGGTGTTCATCAAATAGTTCGCTGAATTTTTTCGATACATCAATGGATGCTATTTTCTTAACATTAGGTGCGAGCATGCGACTGTCACACAGAAAACGCGGTTTAAACTGTCGTCGGAGATCGCGGCCGCCCCCAATGTTTCAGTGTTGTTGACAGACGACAGGGCAAACGACGCACGCGCTCAACGTGAATATCGCGAGAGTTTGCACCGATGTAAACCCTCTACACAGTTTTTTTTCGACGTGGAAATTCTCGGTCGGTCGGGTTACCGGAAACACACTACTTTTTTTTCTCCGCCGTACCATATTGATCAATGCCTCTTCCACTGCATTCTTATCCACTGCTGTTTCACAGAAACAGAGTAGGCCTATTAATGATAGATACCATTCATTTCATCTGTCACATTTGAAATATACATGGTAGGCTATGCTGTTTTTTCATTGCATGTTAAAATGGCTTAACTGGGCGTGGTTCTATTTGAGTTGTCTCCTTATTTTCATGCAGGGCCCTATAATGCCTCAACAAAGATGAAGTGTTCTCTTGGTACCCAAGTTCTTTACAACAAAATTTACACTTCACCTTTGGAAATATCAGCAAGTCGAAGAAAGACATTAAAACGAGGGATACACTGCGTTGTCACAATAATTTACGATATATATTCACATTAGTTATTATAATTCGTACCTTTTTAGGAGAGATCCCAGACAGGGGATGTTCTCTTCTTTTTCGTTGTGACCGATGGGGTGTGTCCATTGCAAAACGAATGTGATTTAATTGAAGTCTGAAGATGCGAGTTGGGTGTATTAGTGTCACCTGTCGGCTCATTGTCGTCTCGGTGCGCCAGTTTATTTTCGAATC